ACTGTCTTTCACCGTGGTAGGGTGACCTGACATAGACGATAACACTTTCACTGTCACTCATTCAATCACTGTGTTGCCAGAAGGGCACTTATATCATGGTTCAGATGGACCCTTCAAACTGCAACATCCTCACTGTATATACATCACTGATTATTCTCATGTCTGTATTTTCAAAATTTATTGTGTAAATCTCTCCTTGTAGTTCTATACAGAAATAAATAACTGATAAAAGGCACTGTAGTAAACAAAAACTACTCAATAAATTATCAAATTAGACCCCAATAGAGTGTTCCAAAGTTGTAATGTATTTGAGGCTTCACAGTTTTTTTATGTATTTTTCTCAGATACCATAAACACGCTAGATAACAGGAATATCTTGCTACTCCTACTTAAACTTTGGTCACACTTCACAGACACGCACATGCATATATATATACATACATCTAGATATTTCTCTTTTTTCTAAATAGCCCTTGTTCTTCTTTATTTCTTCTATTGTCCATGGGGAAGTGGAAAAGAATCTTTCCTCTGTAAGCCATGCGTGTCATATGAGGCGACTAAAATGCCGGGAGCGATGGGCTAGTAACCCCTTCTCCTGTAGACATTTACTAAAAAAGAGATGAAGAAAAACTTTATAAAACTGGGATGCTTGAATGTGCGTGGATGTAGTGCGGATGACAAGAAACAGATGATTGCTGATGTTATGAATGAAAAGAAGCTGGATGTCCTGGCCCTAAGCGAAATAAAGCTGAAGGGAGTAGGGGAGTTTCGGTGGGGGGAAATAAATGGGATTAAATCTGGAGTATCTGAGAGAGTTAGAGCTAAGGAAGGGGTAGCAGTAATGTTGAAGGATCAGTTATGGAAGGAGAAAAGAGAATATGAATGTGTAAATTCAAGGATTATGTGGATTAAAGTAAAGGTCAGATGCGAAAAGTGGGTGATAATAAGCGTGTATGCACCTGGAGAAGAGAGGAATGTAGAGGAGAGAGAGAGATTTTGGGAGATGTTAAGTGAATGTATAGGAACCTTTGAACCAAGTGAGAGAGTAATTGTGGTAGGGGACCTGAATGCTAAAGTAGGAGAAACTTTTAGAGAAGGTGTGGTAGGTAAGATTGGGGTGCCAGGTGTAAATGATAATGGGAACCCTTTGATTGAACTTTGTATAGAAAGGGGTTTAGTTATAGGTAATACATATTTTAAGAAAAAGAGGATAAATAAGTATACAAGATATGGTGTAGGGCGAAATGACAGTAGTTTGCTGGATTATGTATTGGTAGATAAAAGACTGTTGAGTAGACTTCAGGATGTACATGTTTATAGAGGGGCCACAGATATATCAGATCACTTTTTAGTTGTAGCTACACTGAGAGTAAAAGGTAGATGGGATACAAGGAGAATAGAAGCATCAGGGAAGAGAGAGGTGAAGGTTTATAAACTAAAAGAGGAGGCAGTTAGAGTAAGATATAAACAGCTATTGGAGGATAGATGGGCTAATGAGAGCATAGGCAATGGGGTCAAAGATGTATGGGGTAGGTTTAAAAATGTAGTGTTAGAGTGTTCAGCAGAAATTTGTGGTTACAGGAAAGTGGGTGCGGGAGGGAAGAGGAGCGATTGGTGGAATGATGATGTAAAGAGAGTAGTAAGGGAGAAAAAGTTAGCATATGAGAAGTTTTTACAAAGTAGAAGTGATGCAAGGAGGTAAGAGTATATGGAGAAAAAGAGAGAGGTTAAGAGAGTGGTGAAGCAATGTAAAAAGAGAGCAAATGAGAGAGTGAGTGAGATGTTATCAACAAATTTTGTTGAAAATAAGAAAAAGTTTTGGAGTGAGATTAACAAGTTAAGGAAGCCTAGAGAACAAATGGATTTGTCAGTTAAAACAAGGAGAGGAGAGTTATTAAATGGAGAGTTAGAAGTATTGGGAAGATGGAAGGAATATTTTGAGGAATTGTTAAATGTTGATGAAGATAGGGAAGCTGTGATTTCGTGTATAGGGCAAGGAGGAATAACATCTTGTAGGAGTGAGGAAGAGCCAGTTGTGAGTGTGGGGGAAGTTCGTGAGGCAGTAGATAAAATGAAAGGGGGTAAGGCAGCTGGGATTTATGGGATAAAGATAGAAATGTTAAAAGCAGGTGGGGATATAGTTTTGGAGTGGTTGGTGCTATTATTTAATAAATGTATGGAAGAGGGTAAAGTACCTAGGGATTGGCAGAGAGCATGCATAGTTCCTTTGTATAAAGGCAAAGGGGACAAAAGAGAGTGCAAAAATTATAGGGGGATAAGTCTGTTGAGTATACCTGGTAAAGTGTATAGTCGAGTTATTATTGAAAGAATTAAGAGTAAGATGGAGAATAGGATAGCAGATGAACAAGGAGGCTTTAGGAAAGGAAGGGGGTGTGTGGACCAGGTGTTTACAGTGAAACATATAAGTGAACAGTATTTAGATAAGGCTAAAGAGGTTTTTGTGGCATTTATGGATTTGGAAAAGGCGTATGACAGGGTGGATAGGGGGGCAATGTGGCAGATGTTGCAGGTGTATGGTGTAGGAGGTAGGTTACTGAAAGCAGTGAAGAGTTTTTACGAGGATAGTGAGGCTCAAGTTAGAGTATGTAGGAAAGAGAGAGATTATTTCCCAGTAAAAGTAGGCCTTAGACAAGGATTTGTGATGTCACTGTGGTTGTTTAATGTATTTATAGATGGGGTTGTAAGAGAAGTAAATGTGAGGGTCTTGGCAAGAGGCGTGGAGTTAAAAGATAAAGAATCACACATAAAGTGGGAGTTGTCACAGTTGCTCTTTGCTGATGACACTGTGCTCTTGGGAGATTCTGAAGAGAAGTTGCAGAAATTGGTGGATGAATTTGGTAGGGTATGCAAAAGAAGAAAATTAAAAGTGAATACAGGAAAGAGTATGGTTATGAGGATAACGAAAAGATTAGGTGATGAAAGATTGGATATCAGATTGGAGGGAGAGAGTATGGAGGAGGTGAATGTATTCAGATATTTGGGAGTGGACGTGTCAGTGGATGGGTCTATGAAAGATGAGGTGAATCATAGAATTGATGAGGGGAAAAGGGTGAGCGGTGCACTTAGGAGTCTGTGGAGACAAAGAACTTTGTCCTTGGAGGCAAAGAGGGGAATGTATGAGAGTATAGTTTTACCAATGCTCTTATATGGGTGTGAAGCATGGGTGATGAATGTTGCAGCGAGGAGAAGGCTGGAGGCAGTGGAGATGTCGTGTCTGAGGGCAATGTGTGGTGTGAATATAATGCAGAGAATTCGTAGTTTGGAAGTTAGGAGGAGGTGCGGGATTACCAAAACTGTTGTCCAGAGGGCTGAGGAAGTGTTGTTGAGGTGGTTTGGACATGTAGAGAGAATGGAGCAAAACAGAGTGACTTCAAGAGTGTATCAGTCTGTAGTGGAAGGAAGGCGGGGTAGGGGTCGGCCTAGGAAAGGTTGGAGGGAGGGGGTAAAGGAGCTTTTGTGTGCGAGGGGCTTGGACTTCCAGCGGGCATGCATGAGCGTGTTTGATAGGAGTGAATCGAGACAAATGGTTTTTAATACTTGACATGCTGTTGGAGTGTGAGCAAAGTAACATTTATGAAGGGATTCAGGGAAACCGGCAGACCGGACTTGAGTCCTGGAGATGGGAAGTACAGTGCCTGCACTCTGAAGGAGGGGTGTTAATGTTGCAGTTTAAACTGTAGTGTAAAGCACCCTTCTGGCAAGACAGTGATGGAGTTAATGATGGTGAAAGTATTTCTTTTTCGAGCCACCCTGCCTTGGTGGGAATCAGCCAGTGTGTTAATAAAATAAAAAAAAAAACAATAAATCCAAGCACTAATGTGCCATCCACGTACTGAAATTTTTTGTCACATTGCAGCCCTATTTGTTTATCACTAATGTAAAATTTCTTTCCATAATTGCAGTAGTTTAGACATTCTGGAATTACTTTCTGTAATATATTTTGTTTAAAAAAAAAAAAAAGTTTATTTTCATAACCACTGTAAATTTTGGCATGACATTTAACACACATGATTCATTAACCTTAATCCAAAATAGGCTTGGGTTTAGATATTTGCAGTACAGAATAGATAGCAGTGTCCTAGAAACACCTATGCAAAATAATTTCATAATTCAATTTTCACATTTAGTGTGAATTTCCAAACTTATTTCTATCCTGTTGTCTTTCTTTCTTGGATTTTTCTTCTTTTTGGGTCACCCTGCCTCAGTGGGAGACGGCCAGTGTGTTAAAAAAAAAAAAGAAAATTCTATTCAGAATTAAATGACCTCTTAGATGTTCATTAATGAAGGAAAACTGTTCAGTAATCAAATTAAACCCAAGAGAGTTTAGAATTTAAAATTTAGAATTTAAAATCTATGGCTAAAGATTTATTCATTTATGGAAACTGATTGTCCAGTAATTTGTGGTAGTCTCAAAACCCTGATAAAAATGTTGACATCAGAATCACATTTTTTTTTTCTTTTTTTTTTTGGGGGGGGGGGGTGACAGGGAGGGAATTGACCTGAATGACTCCTTTTTTTAAATACACTATCCTCCATTTTCCCTTCTCCCTCCTGCCTCTCTTCTCTTTCTCCCTATCTCTTTCTCCTTCTCACCTCCAGTTCTGCCACTCCTCACTGCCCCTCCTCTCTTTGCCTTCCCCTCCCTCCCCCCTTTTTTTTTTTCTACAATAAATTTATGACATCTTTAAAACTGATCATATCACTAGCAAGACTTTTGTTTATTTTGTCCCTTATAGACTGTTTCTGATTTTCTTAATGTTCTCACATGTTAATATTTTGGTATTTTCACCATTTTGTCTTTTGTTTGATGTCTTTTGTACTGTTATTGTATTTTGTTAAAGTAGAGGTGTTAGTATGTGACTTTAATTTTGAGTAGTTGTTGGTGCCCGTAATGACTAACAGATTTACCTCTTTTCCACTGGGTCTGTGCATGTGTTTGTTGCATGTTTACATGACTGCTCTGTTGGGGATCACTGTAGGAATCACTCAGTGACCGCGAACAGGAACAGGGGGAGGAGGAGATGGATGATGATGATGATGAGGAGGAGGAGGACCAGGAGGAAGAGGGGGAGGAAGATGAGGAGAATGGGGAAGAGGGACAAAGCCAGGAGGAAGAGGCACAGCCTCGCTTTGATGAAGTGGTCTCCGAAGAGGTGAGACGTGCACCAAGCAGCAGACAGTATAGAGTAGCTTCTTAACTTATGTAATTCCTAGATATATAGTGTGATATAGAGCTTTAAGAACTGATGATTAATGTTTTGAGCAGAGCTATGGTAAATAAATGAGCTTCGTAACACCCGTATCTATTAGGCCAAAGTTGTGAGCTTAGTGCTTAGATTTTAGTGCTGGTATTTTCAGTGGTATGTAGCTAAATGTAGTCAAATGTAAATAATCATTGATTTTTAAATATATCTGGATGTTTTGTTCTTTTGAGTAGATGAATTATTACTCTGGCTGCATCTACCACATTACTTATGGGACCATTCTCTCAAACTCATTGGGATCAGGTGTTTCTGTTCATTAGCATATCCCATTAATGATAACAACTACTGTTACAGAGCACATTAATATTTACTAACTAGAAGGCGATCTGTATGTCCTCTTCAAGCACTTTGTGCAGGCACTTAAGATGTATATACTAAATTATTTGATAAGTTAGAATTTTAAGTAAAAATAGGATTGGAATATGTGTATTCTCTCCTCCATGTTCTTTTAATTCTGATTTTGGTCAGTGATTGGTCATCATCAAAGCCTTGAAATGTCTCAGCCTTAAAAATTCATTAGTGCCCATTTTTCCTTCCATATTAGGTGTGTTCCACCAAGATAGGTTGACCCAAAGAAGGAAACACATTTATTATCATTCATTCAAATGCTCTCTTGCTAGAAGTGAACGAACATCATAATTCAAATGACCTTTGGACTGCATCATCCCCATCAATCTTTAACTCTAGTCTGGTCAATGGCCACTAAAAATCCATCCTGATAAATTGGTTAGTTTATAACAAGAACAAATAAAAGCTTTGTAATGCTTGTAGATATATTTAGTTCATACTACAGAATTGATTTGTACATTGAATAGTGTGAAAAGGGAAAGTCAACAGGAGCTGTATCATATAACTGATTGCTTTTTTGGTGGAAAATGAGGAACGTGTAACTCAGAGTAAGTTGGGTTTAACACACACAGTATGAGTGACAAGGAAAGGCCAGTGAAATTAAATCTAATGACATCAGAGGACAGACAAACCTGGGAAGACATGATGACAACATACAAAATACTTATATAAATTGATAGGGTAGACAAGGATAGGTCATTTAAGAGGCAGAAAACAGGTTTTTAGGGGTATGGCTGGAAGTTAATAACACGGGTGACCTCAGGGATATCAGGAAGTATTTCTTCAGTCTCAGGGTGGTTAGGAAGTGGAATGAGTTTGATGAAGTCATTCCACTTCCATACTCCATATACAGTTTTAAGAGCAGGTATAATAGGATCCTTGAGGCTATGAGGGAGTGAATATAACAAGTTGAGAGGTGGAGCCAGGAGCTAAGACTTGACCCCTGCAACCTGCAGTAGGTGGATACAAATAGGTGAGTACTGTCTCCTAGTTTCTACTCTGAATTTGTTGCATAATATTCAGACTACATATTGCTCTCAAACATGACATCTCGACTGCCTGCAGGCTCCTCCTTGCAGCAACATTTAAAGTTCGTGCCTCACATCTGTGTAACAGATTTGGTAGTTCTGTACTCTGATACATATCTCTTAGCCTCCATAGGTAAACTTCTCTCTCTCCACAGGTGCTTCAACCCTCAACCCACCTATCTTTCCTCTGACCATTCTGTGGTTCACCTTAGTCTTTCATGGATCTGTTTGTTGACACGTAAATTCTCAAATATATCTAAATACAGTCACTTCCTCCATAATTCCTCCTTCCAAACTGAATCTAATTTTTCATTACCTGATCTTTTATTTACTTTAATCACTTTGCTCTTTTCTCTGTTTATTTTTAATTTCCTTCTTTTACGTACTTTCACAAACTCGACCACCAACCTTTGTAGCTTCTCTTTAAAATCTCCCAAAAGAACTGTGTCATTGGCAGAAAGTATCTGCAGCAACTCCCACTTGGTATCAGATTCGTTATCTTTTATTCCTACACCTCTTCCCTACACCCTATCATTTACTTTTTATACAACCTCATCTGTAAATACAGTGGAACCTTGTTGATATACGACCAGCTCCATAAACAAAGCTCAGCACTCGACCAAACAAATACGACCTTCCAGAACTTTGCTGTAAACTATTTCATGTTTCTTCGCATTTTTGGTGTTTTTTTGTATTACAGTGGACCCCCGCTTTACGATCAGCTCCCAATGCGACCAATTATGTAAGTGTATTTATGTAAGTGCGTTTGTACGTGTGTGTTTGGGGGTCTGAAATGGACTAATCTAATTCACAATATTCCTTATGGGAACAAATTCGTTCAGTAATGGCACCTGAACATACTTCTGGAATGAAATAATATCGTAAACCGGGGGTCCACTGTATTTTTATAAACAAGACACCATGGGGCCTACGAAGATTAGTGATAACAGCCAACCAAACAGAAAATTGGTTGGGAAGAACTTGTTCGATACTTAAACGGAGCGGCACTCGAACGGCCTTCTGAAATGAATTAAGGTCGCATACCGAGGTTCCACTGTACTTTAAATTATTTCACACATCCCTGTCTAAGGCTTATTTTTACTGGAAAATGGTCCCCTTCTGTCCCGTATACCCTAACTTGACCTTTACTCTCCTCATGAAAACTCCTTACTGCTTTGAATGATGGTATAAATTTATCCCTCAGTGCCACAATACTGTTTGGGTTCAGTCTTCTGGGACACCTTGCAATTTAACCAGTGCCTCTTTTTTTTAATAAAAACACCAATTACTCTAATTTTTACTTTATTCCTGACTATGGATAAGTAAAATTGTAAAATAATTTTAACAATGTGCAAAAATATAGTTAAAAATTTATAATTCATTTGTAGAAACAAAAATTTAATTTTAGAATGATTTTGCCATTGAATGTACCTCTTCTAACAAAACTGTAATTAATAGTGTTAGTCATTTTAGTAATCATTATTTTTTTTATGCAAAATATAATTTGTTGATTCAAATTTATTTTAACCCTTTGAGGGTCCAGAGGCCAAATCTCAGAGTGACAGCCAGGGTTGAAGAATTTAAAAAAAAAAATTGTTATTTTTTCTTATTAAATGGTAGAGAATCTTTTTCTAAAGGTAGTAAAACAAAAATTATGAAATTTGATGGGAAATTCATGAAATTACTCTCTCGCGAATTTTGATGTGTCAGCGATATTTACGCATCGGTGATTTTGCCAACTTTGACTCCCATTTTAGGCCAATTACATTATTCCAGTCAACTGAATTCTTTGCTATTTCGCTAGTAATACTTCTGTTTTATCGATTGAGCACAAGAAATCATCCAGTCAACTATTTCAACTATCCAATAAAGTGATTGGAAATTGGTAATTTGGCCAATTTAACACAAAGTTCAAAATATTCCAATTTCAAAATAGGATCCAGAATAAACAATGCAGGCATTCCTAGCACTAAACTAACATTTCGTCTGTTCATTAGTTACGTTTTCAGGCTTTACAAATGAATTCCATTTTGATTTTTTATTCACATAATGAATTTTTATTCACACCAAAAAGTGGAAGATTTACTGTTATGCAATAATGTAATACTTGTATAAATAATATCACCACATTCGTGAACATATATTAGACCCACCAGCTGACACGTATTAGACACGTGACATATGTTTCCTCTTGAACATCAGCAAAAATTGAACATTTCCACTACTTTGAGCTCAGTTTCAAGTCATTTTTAATATTTAAAACCAATCAAAATCACCTCTGTAATATATCTTCTATTCTGTCAACTGAGACCAAGAAATTGTGAATACAACTGTAAAAAACATACAAAGAAACACCGTAAAGTCACTGTTTTAATCCAAAATTACAGTCGCAATTTTTTTTCTCTCATTATGCAGGATTTGTTTTATGTGGTGCACACTTACCACACAGATGTATTCTCTCATATCTAGGCCTAAATTTACCGCTCACAGTTTATCTGAGTGAGCTGAGCTCATGGCATAGATCTACAGCTTGAGCCCTGGCTTCAAAACCATAGATCTATGGGACAGAGACCCTGAAAGGGTTAAATGAAAAAAAAATTAAAAATAAATGTGCGAGTAATGGAAATCTCTCTGGGATCAATAATATTCCTACATTCACTTCATAGTACTTCTTAATAATTTTGGACTCTAATTTCTTTTTTACTTTCCCATGCTTTTGATATTTTGTATCCTAGTGTATAAATTTGAGCATTATCATTTTTGCTTACCTCCTCCTCTCCTGTTTTCCTTCATTGTGTGTGATTACTCAACAGTTTTCATTCTTCTAAATCCTCTGCAAGCAATTAGCAATTATTCTTAACTAGTAGCAAAGACCAAATGTAGAATTCTTCACCTGCAGTTGTAGGAAATTCAAGTATGAAAGTAATAAGTAGATGAAATGTTCAAAGAAGATTCTTCAGGTGGTAACCTCTAAAGGAAAGGAAGTTCAGGTGGGAAGAAGCCATTACAGATTTTGATAGGTTGGTAAGTTAGAGCAATATTTTAATGTCTGTGCATTACTTACATTGTTTAAATTATACTTTCAAATTACTATACATACTACTTTTCCATATCCAGTGATTTATCTATAAATTTCCTAACTAGTGCCTGAGCTATCTAGCACCTGCACCATAACTATAATTAGTCCAGAATTTCAGATATAAAACTTTGGTAATCTCTTTCCTGTACTAAACTCACTTTTAGCATCTTTATCACACTCCTTTGTATTGTGATCATCTGATAGATGAGCTGAGATGGTGTTGTGCCTATGCTTGACTACAGCTTATCTTAACAGATTCAGGAGTCACAAAACACGGGGGTGCAACAATCATCCTCTACAGCAACTTCCCCTGCAACCCCTACCACAATCATCAACAACTCTAGTGTCACCAATAATGCACCCAAGGTATGCACTTGTGCACACTGCTTCTTATCACTTGCTGTGCTTCAGCTTTTAACCCTTAAACTGCCCAAACGTAGATCTACGTTCACGTGCGTAGCGCTCCGACCTTGATTTTCCCCATTTGAAATCATGTAAAAAAAAAACGTAGATCTATGTTTGGAGCCCCCTGCACATGGACATAGATCTATGTTTAGGCAGTTTTATATGCACAGTATACCTGTACTACTAATGTCAAGCTGACAGGTATGAATTTATTAATTTTAACAATGATACTGTCTTTGGTCTCAGTGTGTTTGGTTGATGCTTTATGCTCTGGTTCAGCTTCATCTGGATCAGTGTTAAAAGGGAACCAGAATAATTTTTTGTGGAGTTTTCTCAATGTAGAAACACAAGGAGTGACTTTGCAAGTTATTTTGTTAACTGATAATAAGACCCAACACTATGCTGTTGTTTTCAAGAATTCTGTAAATAAAGCAACCCAAGTAGTGCTTACTGCTCTTTCCAATGGTCTTGGAAATGGCTAATTTTATTAAGCAACAGATCAGAATGCTTTCTATTAGTAGTAATCTTAGTAACTGAAGTCACTTGACTCCCTTAACATTAACCTTATTTCCAAGATTACAAGTTATTTAGGAGAATCTGAGAGTAATACATTCCTTATCTGATGTTACATTAAGTGATAAAGTTAGCTTTCCCATTTTTTTTTTTTCAACAAGTCGGCCGTCTCCCACCGAGGCAGGGTGACCCAAAAAGAAAGAAAATCCCCAAAAAGAAAATACTTTCATCATCATTCAACACTTTCACCCCACTCACACATAATCACTGAATGAACAATTGGAATTTAAATAGAGTTACGAAAATCTCCAGGCTCAGTATTAATGTTTTAAGCACGTCTTGCACTGTGTGTAAATGAATAGGTCCTTGTCACGAAATGATTGTTTTCCATTGAGCAACTATCCTGATACGTAGTAAAATTCTTCTTCTTTCAACAAATCGGCTGTCCCACTGAAGCAGGGTGGCCCAAAAAGAAAAACAAAAGTTTCACTTTTTAACTTCAGTAATGTATACAGGAGAAGGGGTTACTAGTCCCTTGCTCCTGGTATTTTAGTCAACTCTTATGACACATGGCTTACGGAGGAAGAATTCTGTTCCACTTTACCATGGATATAAGAGGAAATAAATAAGAACAAGAACTAGTAAGAAAATAGAAGAAAACCCAGAGAGGTGTGTATAGATATGCTTGTGCATCCAAGTGTAGTGTGACCTAAATGCAAGTAGAAGTAGCAAGATGTACCTGAAATCTTGCATGTTTATGAGACGGAAAAAAGACACCAGCAATCCTACCATCATGTAAAACAATTACAGGCTTCTGTTTTACACTCACTTGGCAGAAGAGTTGTACCTCCCTGGGTGGTTGCTGTTTACCAACCTACTACCTACAATGTATTAAAATTACTGGTAGATAAATAGACCACATTACAACAGTCTAATATTATTAGGAAAGCAGATACTTATGGAGGGAGTAGTAGGTAAATTTGGGGTGCCAGGGGTAAATGTAAATGGGGAGCCTTTAATTGAGCTATGTGTAGAAAGAAATTTGGTAATAAGTAATACATATTTTATGAAAAAGAGGATAAATAAATATACAAGGTATGATGTAGCATGTAATGAAAGTAGTTTGTTAGATTATGTATTGGTGGATAAAAGGTTGATGGGTAGGCTCCAGGATGTACATGTTTATAGAGGGGCAACTGATATATCGGATCATTATTTAGTTGTAGCTACAGTTAGAGTAAGAGGTAGATGGGAAAAAAGGAAGGAGGCAACAACAAGTAAGAGGGAGGTGAAAGTGTAATAAACTAAGGAGGAGAAATTTGTTGGCGCAGATATAGCGGATCATTGGCAGAAGGTGTGGCTAGTGCAAATGATCAGTTGGGGGGCGTTGAAGAGGTTGATAGTTTTAAAAATGCAGTATAGATGTGGCAGAAGTTTGGGTTTAGGAGGAAGTGGGGCAGAGGAAAAGCAGGATGATTGGGGAATGATGAGTAAAGGGTGTGATAAAAGAGAAGAAGGTGGTTACGAGAGGGTTTTACAAAGCATAAGTGTTATAAGAAGAGCAAAGTATATGGAGAGTAAAAGAAAGGTGAAGAGAGTGGTGAGAGAGTGCAAAAGGAGAGCAGATGAAAGAGTGGGAGAGGCACTGTCAAGAAATTTTAATGAAAATAAGAAAAAATTTTGGAGTGAGTTAAACAAGTTAAGAAAGCCTAGGGAAAGTATGGATTTGTCAGTTAAAAACAGAGAAGGGGAGTTAGTAGATGGGGAGAGGGAGGTATTAGGTAGATGGCGAGAATATTTTGAGGAACTTTTAAATGTTGAGGAAGAAAGGGAGGCGGTAATTTCATGCACTGGCCAGGGAGGTATACCATCTTTTAGGAGTGAAGAAGAGCAGAATGTAAGTATGGTGGAGGTACGTGAGGCATTACGTAGAATGAAAGGGGGTAAAGCAGCTGGAACTGATGGGATCATGACAGAAATGTTAAAAGCAGGGGGGGATATAGTGTTGGAGTGGTTGGTACTTTTGTTTAATAAATGTATGAAAGAGGGGAAGGTACCTAGGGATTGGCGGAGAGCATGTATAGTCCCTTTATATAAAGGGAAAGGGGACAAAAGAGATTGTAAAAATTATAGAGGAATAAGTTTACTGAGTATACCAGGAAAAGTATACGGTAGGGTTATAATTGAAAGAATTAGAGGTAAGACAGAATGTAGAATTGCGGATGAGCAAGGAGGCTTCAGAGTGGGTAGGGGATGTGTAGATCAAGTGTTTACATTGAAGCATATATGTGAACAGTATTTAGATAAAGGTAGGGAAATTTTTATTGGATTTATGGATTTAGAAAAGGCATATGATAGAGTGGATAGAAGAGCAATGTGGCAGATGTTGCAAGTATATGGAATAGGTGGTAAGTTGTTAAATGCTGTAAAGAGTTTATATGAGGATAGTGAGGCTCAGGTTAGGGTGTGTAGAAGAGAGGGAGACTACTTCCCGGTAAAAGTAGGTCTTAGACAGGGATGTGTAATGTCACCATGGTTGTTTAATATATTTATAGATGGGGTTGTAAAGGAAGTAAATGCTAGGGTGTTCGGGAGACGGGTGGGATTAAATTTTTGGGAATCAAATTCAAAATGGGAATTGACACAGTTACTTTTTGCTGATGATACTGTGCTTATGGGAGATTCTAAAGAAAAATTACAAAGGTTAGTGGATGAGTTTGGGAATGTGTGTAAAGGTAGAAAGTTGAAAGTGAACATAGAAAAGAGTAAGGTGATGAGGGTATCAAATGATTTAGATAAAGAAAAATTGGATATCAAATTGGGGAGGAGGAGTATGGAAGAAGTGAATGTTTTCAGATACTTGGGGGTTGACGTGTCGGCGGATGGATTTATGAAGTATGAGGTTAATCATAGAATTGATGAGGGAAAAAAGGTGAGTGGTGCGTTGAGGTATATGTGGAGTCAAAAAACGTTATCTATGGAGGCAAAGAATGGAATGTATGAAAGTATAGTAGTACCAACACTCTTATATGGATGTGAAGCTTGGGTGGTAAATGTAGCAGCGAGGAGACGGTTGGAGGCAGTGGAGATGTCCTGTCTAAGGGCAATGTGTGGTGTAAATGTTATGCAGAAAATTCGGAGTGTGGAAATTAGGAGGTGTGGAGTTAATAAAAGCATTAGTCAGAGGGTAGAAGAGGGGTTGTTGAGGTGGTTTGGTCATTTAGAGAGAATGGATCAAAGTAGAATGACATGGAAAGCATATAAATCTATAGGGGAAGGAAAGAGGGGTAGGGGTCGTCCTCGAAAGGGTTGGAAAGAGGGGGTAAAGGAGGTTTTGTGGGCGAGGGGCTTGGACTTCCAGCAAGCGTGCATGAGTGTGTTCGATAGGAGTGAATGGAGACGAATGATACTTGGGACCTGACGATCTGTTGGAGTGTGAGCAGGGTAATATTTAGTGAAGGGATTCAGGGAAACCGGTTATTTTCATATAGTCGGACTTGAGTCCTGGAAATGGGAAGTACAATGCCTGCACTTTAAAGGAGGGGTTTGGGATATTGGCAGTTTGGAGGGATATGTTGTGTATCTTTATATGTGTATGCTTCTAGACTGTTGTATTCTGAGCACCTCTGCAAAAACAGTGATAATGTGCGAGTGTGGTGAAAGTGTTGAATGATGATGAAAGTATTTTCTTTTTGGGGATTTTCTTTCTTTTTTGGGTCACCCTGCCTCGGTGGGAGACGGCCGACTTGTTGAAAAAAAAAAAAAAATATATATATATATATATATAAAATTTACTGCAAGAGATACCTGTGTACTGTATCATAGTTTTGAATAGATTGCAGTGTGTATGAGCTCATGATTATTGGAAATTTTCTGTGTCCAACCAAAACCATAAAAGTTATTTGTTGCAACATACATAATCTACACTTTCCTTATTCTCCCTCCTCTCTTCCTCCTTCTTCTCTCCCCTCTTCCTTCCTTTCTCATTTCGTTTTCCTCTTTATTCCTCTTCTTCATGTCCTCTCTTTCCTCTTCCTCTCTTCCTCCTCCTCCTCCCTCTCTTCTTCTTCCCTCTTCTCCTTTCCTCCTCCCTCCTCTTTTCCACTTTCCCTCCTCTATTTCTCTCTCCCTCCCTCCTCTCCTCCTAATGTCACATGGCAAATGAGGAAGTGTATGAATGATGCATGGTCCAGACATGAGGTTACACACGTGAGCAGTTACTTGGCTTCCTACCATGCTGACGTCACTCCCTCACACCAGCCACAGTTCTTCATGGGCTTGTCATGAGAACATAACAGGAACCTCCACCATCCAAATTATTGACACGTTCTCAATGTATATGATATTCTTCGGCATTGCAACTAACGTACTCAACTTTTAAGTGCAGTGAGAATATTGACTCTTGAAAATACGAGACTTATATTTTAGCAATTTATTAAAAGTGCAGTTTTTTAGTTCTTTAGTTCACTTGTGCCAATGACATGTGTTCCATTTATCTTAACTTGTTCACATTTTTCTGACCTTACCAATAACTAGCACAGTTGTAGAATGTTCCTTTAGTTACCTCAAGCAATTCCTTCATTGTTCTGAACTTCAATAATTTTATGAAAAAAGTGAAAGACCAAGAAAAACAAGATGCAGAATATGGAAATAGTTATTGTAAACTTTTCTTCGGAAAAACCAATGTTTACTGAAGCTGTTTTTCCTGATCCCGAAGTTAGAAGTATATTTGCTGATCGTGAGGAGGCGGCAAGAAATCGAAGACGTGAAGCTAGAAGGCGACTGCGTCGTAATCAGCGTCGAGCTGCCAGGTCTGCCATCAGTAGCTCAGATAATAGAGAGCATTGGCAGGAAAGCTCAGGTCCTAATAGTCTCATTCAGTATCATACCACAAGCAACATAAACACCAGTGAAATCAGGCATGTGCGTATCAGTGGTAGTGAAGATGAATGGTTTGTGCTTTCATTAGGTGGAGAGAGCACAGACGAGGATGCAGAGTCTGTTGGCCCACAGCAGGACGTGGCATCAACACACCGGTACCTTTTGGTCCCATCAACCATTAGACACCAACATTCTACCCAGTCTGGAAGTCAACATCTTGCTCTTCCTCTAGCCAGCCAGCACCGTCATCACCCTGGTGAAGAAGAGGAGGAGGAGGAGCAAGAATGGAGGTTAAATTCAGAGCCATTGGCAGTCAACTCTATTAAGCCAAATCCAATTAACTCAACATATCAACAAATGGGTAAAAACAGGAAGAAGTCGGTGGCTTGGTCAAGGGGTTGCAAGACGTGCAAGGGGGATCTAGCTATTCTTTCCCATCACCGTCCTCGCTTAAGACAAGCTTTATTTTCCCAGGTGTCTTAATTCTTTTATATGTGCTTAGTTGTACACATGTATATGTGTATAGTTGTACACATGTATCTGTTTTATCCTCAGTCTTCTCAGCAAATACATTTTTATTATTATTATTAGTAGCAATATTAGTATTATTGTTGTTTATTTTATTGATGGGTATTGTTATTGTTATAATGATGAATATCAATATTTTATAATGTAAATGCAGCACTGTATTTGGTATGCTGAACCACAGCATGAATTAATAATGTATTTTATTTATCATTACTAGTTCCCTAGTAATTATCAACCAGTTGCACCCTCAGTGTGGGAAAGGGTGCCTTGATGCTGAAGGGTTCTTGATCCAAAGAATTAGAGCTACCCTCTCCTTTCTCAGATCAATTCAGATTACTTCTCATTCCCCAGGTGTTGTATGAACCCTTCAGGTTTTATGCTTTCCCTATGAATATAGTAATAACCAAAAGTAATGTTCTTAATAATGTTTTAGCCTCAAACCCCGACTCCTACTGGAGTAGATGAGACTCTGCCTCGCGGCTGGACTAGTCAAGTGGCTCCAAATGGTCGCGTCTTCTTTATTGGTGAGTTATGCTAAGTTTAAGTGGAATTAGAGGAGTATTAGGTGACTTGATAGTTTTAATATGTTCATGATGCAAAGGTAAAAATCTTAAATGTTATTCTTGCTCTTTAATGCATGTGATGGTTTGTCCATAATGCATTTTACTCAAGAGTGACATTAACATCAGTGACCTGTGTTAAATCACTATTATTATTATTAGCAGGTTGGGGACTATGCTGACCGAGCCTAATTTCTTCATTTCTTTGCTTCTTCCCGAGCTCTCCTTTACCTCTCTCTAACTTCCTCTCTTTTTCCACTGTCTATTTTCCTTGTGTTTCTCTCCAGTTACAAAAGCCCTTTGCACCAATATTTTACCCTATATCACCACACCTTGTCTTTACATTAATCAATTCCCTTCTGTCCTTTCATCACCAACAACTTGACTGCTCAAGATTTCCAGCCATGATTTGAGGACAGGATCGATCCTCTACTATTCCTTGTTCTGAATGATTCACATGGGTTTAATGCCTCATGTGATACAATCCTCTTTCCTGCAGCTACCTTCCTTGTACAGTACGTACCTTAAATCTCTGCTGCAGATTCTGACAGGTGTTCCTAAATTCACTCAACATCTATTCCACATCCTTTACATTGCTGTTACAAATTGACAATATTTGCATTCATATTTCTTTCAACTACTGGCACTCTTCACCTTGCTGTGTATTATCATATCTTGTGTTCCTATTTATTTTTTTCTTCAATACACTTTTTATTACCTATTATCAAAATTTTTACATTAAAGTTTCATAAAATGTTGATTCTTTCACTTGTCTCAAAAACTTCCTAAACATTCACCATACATGTCTAAGGGTCTCCCATATACTTTCCACATACAGCTGTATACTAAACATTTTCCCTTTCTCGCAGCTTTCTTTTGTTTTCATCTACATACATTTCTCTAATTAAAACACACTCATACCTCTACATTTGTTTCTATAGTTGTGTATTCAGCATCACCACACTTGTAATTCTTACTGTCTCAGATACATAACAGGAAGCATCTAATATGATAGTCATATAACTTCTGATTTATCTGAAAATTTACACTGTGGCCTTGCCTGTAGCTTTTTATGATTGAAGCAACAGTTTTGTAGTTTTAATTTATAGTTTTATTATGATTGGAACAATAACTCTTCTCTAATTAAGTAGAAATCATAACCAGTGAAGATTTAACTACACAACTAACAAACCCCTGCCATTAATATTATTGTCAAATAATATTCCCCATACAGCTACTATTATTAGTACAGTATCGACTAAGAAAATCTTAATGCTGTAAGCTTATGAGGTAGGAAATACAGTGCCAGCTCTCTGAAGGATAGGTTGGGATGTTGTAGTTTGGAGGGCCATTGTAATGGTGATGTTCATTCTCTTTTTGAAAGAATGTATTTTCGTCTTTGGATCACTCTACCTTGGTGGGCAATGGCCAGTATTATAAAAAAAATTAAAGAACTTTAGTTTCTCTCAGGTTGGTTACCATATACCTACCACTGAGAGTACTGTTACTTATATAATCATCCTGATTATTTCAGTTAATATCTCTGTCTCACAGATCACATCAACAAACAAACAACATGGATAGATCCCCGATCAGGCATGCCAAGTTCTCCTCCTAACCAACGTCACACAAACAACTGGAGACATGAAGATGAGCTGGGACCACTACCTGAAGGTTGGGAACAGAGAGTACACACTGATGGCCGTATATTCTTCATTGATCATAGTAAGTGCAAAGTATTTTCAGCTTCTTACTGTTTGCTATTAGATACAATACTCTACATTTATCAGTCTATCTCAGTATGTGCATGGGGTAAATGTGTACATTTATCCCAGTGGCCATCAGCCATTAGCCATTAGCCCCAGTGGCCTGATGGCTAAAGCTCTCGCTTCACACGTGGAGGGCCCAGGTTTGATTCTCGGCGGGGCGGACACATTTCATCGTGTTTCCTTACACCTGTTGTCATGTTCACCTAGCAGCAAATAGGTACCTGGGTGTTAGTCGACTGGTGTGGGTCTCATCCTGGGGGACAAGATTGAGGACCCCAATGGAAATAAGTTAGACATTTCTCGATGATGCACTGACTTTCTCGAGTTATCCTGAGTGGCTAACCCTCCAGGGTTAAAAATCCGAAGAAAATCTTATCTTATCTTTTCTGAGCAAGGTCATGTCTGTTTTGTCATGAGAGATACAGGATTGAGCCTCCACCACTACTTGCATTGAATGGGTGTAGCACTCTATGTAAAGGAATTAGAAATTAAGTTATGTATGTGCATGTATATGTGCTTTGTGAAGATACTTTATAATTAAGTAAAAGGAAGCAAAAGTGTTTATATTTTATGTAGAGCATTACATCTGTGGAGATCATTCAGCTTTAGTAGTGTAGGTTCAATCCACCATCTGCTAAGGACCTGCCAGAGACTACTCTCATAACTCTTCAAAGTAGACAGGCAAGAGTATAAGGAAAGGTATACTGATTTAGTTAGCAATATTTAGTGCTAATAAGGCTACAGATCATGAACAGTAAAAATACTTTTTTGAATATATATGACAGGAAGTGAAGCCATTGTACTCTCGAAAATTAGCATAATGTGCACATTGAGTATAAATAAAGCATTTAATGATACAAAAGAATCTTTAAGCTTCTAAGTATGTATATGCAAGTTAAAAAGTGCTTGAGTTAAATACGAAAGAAAATGCATTCAGTATACCCCATTTATGATAAGAGATAAATATTTAACCTGACTATAAGTGTTGCACAGCAGTGAATTCAAAATTTTCTTTTGTTTTCTAAATGAAGAAACTTTGTTGTTAAATTTACATACAAAGAGTAGCCTTTCTTGACATATATATTATTATATGATAGTACAATATATGAAATTTACAATTTGATTTTTTTATACATAGAGAACCGCACAACAACATGGGAAGATCCACGATTGCTCAATCCCGCCATTGCAGGCAAAGCCATACCATATTCTAGAGATTACAAGCAGAAATATGAATTCTTCAAAAATAGACTACCCAAGCCAGTAAGTGCACTTTTACTGTTATCATTATATATCAAAATACTGACTTTTATTTTCTTTAATTCTTTGGCTGTTTCCCCACCGAGGCAGGTATCATTAAGAATAAAACATTCACCATGATTCATACACTGGCTGTCTCAGTTTCCAGTTTCTATACTACCACCTGCGCACCTCATATTGCATACCTGGAGAGGGCTATATTGAACCCAGTAACAAAGTACAGTGGAACCTTGGTACATGAACAGCTCCCTACTCGAACAAAGCTCAACACTTGACCAAACAAACATGACCTACCAGAACTTCACTGTAAACTGTTTCGTGTTGATGAGCATTTTTTGGTGTTTTTTTATATTGTATAAATAAGTCACCATCGGGCCTACAAAGATTAGTGATAACAACCAACCAAAAAGAAAATTGGTTGCAAAGAATTTGTTCGATTCTCGAACAGATCGACACTTGAACAGCCTTCTGGAATGAATTGTGTTTGAGTACCAAGGTTCCACTGTATGTGAAAGCTTAATATGACAAAAACAGTAAAATGTGTGGGAGTGAATTGGAAGGTGCAGGATTAACTTTTATGGGTGTGAGAGTTGTCTGATATGGAAGCAAGTAGCACTTTTCAGACCCACGGCAAATGGTAAACTTTAACCCTTTGACTGTCGAAGGGCCCAATCCTGAAGTTGCTCCTGGTGTCGCAAAATATTCGAAAAAAAAAATTATTTTTTCTTATGAAAATGTTAAGATTATTTTTCTGATTGTTTTAGTCCCAAAAAAAAATTTTTCCCATCAGTACTTACCGAGATATAGAGGCATGAAGTTTGCAGAAAATGAGCCGCGTATGGCAACAGCGGCGACTGCCGCTCACCCGGTAAACTTTGGTTTACTTGTATTTGAAGGTTTGTTGTTTTTTTCACTATTTTATTTTTTTACATAACTTATGTGGCCTGTGAGACCAAAGTAAGGTGCAATGTACATATATACACTCGTTGTATACAACACAATAAGCACACAAACATAATTATCAATATATTGTTTACAAAACTTGTTTACAAAAACAAACAATACAAAAAAATTTTTATTACTAATGTTCTATAATATATATACCAATATACAGTCACTGAACATACTCCTAGAAGTTCTGTAGCTTGTGGAACTCTGTGAAACATGGTGTCCATACACAGTGTTTTTTTACACTCTTACACATAAAACATGGTCATACACAGGGGTGTTTACACTCTCACACATAAAACATGGTGTCATACCAATGGTGTTTTAAACACTCCTCACACATAAACATGGTGTCATACACAGTGGTGTTTTACACTCAACATAAAACATGGTGTCATACACAATGGTGTTTTACACTCTCACACATAAAACATGGTGTCATCCCAAAATGGTGTTTTACACACTCTCACACAATAAAATCAGTGTGTGTGCATTTTGTTGAATTTTTTTTTTATGTTGCAAAGACAAAACACCTCGTCTGAGCAGTTTTCTTCAAAGTATTAGCAGGCAGTTGTGTTATGTATTTTATCCTAGGTAAATGGTCGGTGTCATCCTTCCTTCCTAATTTCCTTCATTCCTTTCCTTCCTGGAGGCTACCGGGAGGGCATTCCACCTCTTCTTTCCTACATTCCTTCATCTGTCCTTCATTACTTTTTTCCTTCCTTTCATCTAGTCCTTCCTTCATTCCTGCCTTCCCTTCTTGCTTCTGGTTTCTATAATATATATACACATATATAGTCACTAGATACTTTCATAAAACTGCTATTATCACCCTTCAGCAAGCTTGTCTTGTGTGCCATGTGTGGCTTATAATTGTTTTGAGTCAGGAGTCGGCAGCTGTCAAAATGACATATTGTCTCATTAGTCACTGCCCCTACCGCCTGTCAAAACAATGGGGTTGATGCTGCTTCCCCTCCATTCTATCTAATTATTCTTTCTCCCTCATTCTCTTTCAATCTGTCTCTCTTTCTCTCTCTCTGTCTATCTGTGTCTCACGGGTACACAAATACAACTATACATAGTGTAAATTACCTAGGATAACCCAAAAAATCCAGACAAAGTGCTATACTCTGCTTGAAGATGTGAGTAAAGGTGATGATGACACAGTCTTTGGGCTCTCTCTGAGACAAAAGCTAGAGGATAGACAGGAGTTTGGCAACAGACAAATAGACAGACAGACAAATGTTTCTTCTCTTCTTCTTCTTCTTCTTCTTCTTCTTCTTACTCTTCTTTCTTCTTCTTCTTCTTTCTTCTTCTTCTTCTTTCTTCTTCTTCTCGTTCTTCTTCTTCTTCTTCTCCTCCTCCTCCTCCCTCCTCCCCCCTTCCTCCCCCTCCTCCCCCTCCCCCCTCCTCCCCCTCCTCCCCCTCCTCCTCCACCTCCTCCTCCTCCTCCTCCTCCTCCCCCTCCCCCTCCCCCTCCCCTCCCCCTCCCCCTCCCCCTCCCCCTCCCCCTCCTCCTCCCTCCTCCTCCTCCTCCTCCTCCTCCCTCCTCCTCCTCCTCCTCCTCCTCCTCCCCTCCTCCTCCTCCTCCTCCTCCTCTCCCTCCCCCCTCCCCCTCCCCTCCTCCTCCTCCTCCTCCTCCTCCCCCTCCTCCTCCTTGGCTCTTGACAGTTTGGACAGCTGCCCCCCTCCCTCCACCCTCGTTTACGCTCATAAAAGGGTCAGCTCTTATCAGATGTTATCTCCCCTTATCTTGTCACTGTCATGGGGTGAACTGTTTTCATGCCTCAAGGGAACATATTATTACATATTATTATTATTGGGTATTAGGTATTATTCTTATTCTTCTTCCCTTCTTCTTCTTCTTCTTCTTCTTCTTCTTCTTCTTCTTCTTCTTCTCTTCTTCTTCTTCTTTCTTCTTCTTCTTCTTTCTTTCTCTTCCTCCTCCCCTTCCACCTTCCACCTTCTCCTCCTCCCTCCCTCCTTCCTCCCTCCCTCCCTCCTTCCTCCTCCTCCCTCCTCCTTCCTCCCTCCTTCCTTCCTCCTCCTCCCTCCCACCTCCCCCCTCCTTCCTCCTCCCTCCTTCTTCCTCCTCCCTCCTTCCTCCTCCTCCCTCCTTCCTCCCTCCTTCCTTCCTCTTCCCTTTCCTTCCTCTTCCTCCTTCCTTCCTCCTCCTCTTCTTCCTCCTCCTCTTCTTCCTCCTCCTCTTCTTCCTCCTCCTCTTCCTCCTCCTCCTCTTCCTCCTCTTCCTCCTCCTCCTCTTCCTCCTCCTCCTCTTCCTCCTCCTCCTCCTCCTCCATTGCTTTTGGTCTCAAACTCCTCGAAATCATGAAATTGATCTTCATTGACACTTCCATCGTGTTAGAGCATCACTTGGGAAGAGAAGAGTCCCAGATTTGAAGGGAAGTCACATATTTCTTACCGCTAGACATGCTGAAAAAGGACGACTGAAATGGTATTCCCACAATGCACCACTGGCTCCCCGATTTTTTTTATATGGTGCACACTGACCATGGAGACCCATTCTCTCACATGTGGGCCTACCAGCTTTCTCCTGCTTGATTTGAAGCCGCTAGAATTTATGCGTATAGATATGTCAAACACGGTATCTCCTATGACGTACATTATACGACCGCGACAGTCAAAGGGTTAATGAGCTATAACCAAGTTCGGCCATAGAATGCAAGAAATCAGAATCAAATCAAATTCCCCTCTTTTCCATTTCTTCGTGGAGGAGGTGCTTTTCTTTCTTTTATTACTAGCACTAATAACAACAAAGCTGCCTACATCTGATGATAGGAAATATCAAGAAATTTATTTTCAGATAAAGATTTTTTCATATCCATTATCCAACAAAGTAGGATAACCCAAAAAAGGAAATGCATCTGATATCTTTCATTCAATAGCTATCTTGCTAGAACTGCAAGGACATCACATTCAAATGACTCTCCAAATTGCAGTAGCCTCCATCATCCTTCGAAGAACTCTGAAGTTTAAGCATTGTACTTCCTACCTCCAGAATTCAAATCCAGCTACCACATCCCTGAATCTTTGTGAATGTTGCCTTGCTCATACTCCAACAGCACAGCAAATCTCTAAAACTCTTTACATAATGAAAAGTTGCATAATAGCATATTCTTCATTTGTTCTTCTTTAACTAAAGTTACATGCTTTTTTTTTAGATGCAATATCCCTATATCTAACATACTCTTTTTTTTTTTTTTTTTTTTTTCTAAATCATTTGATGGAAATAAATGGTATAAAATACCGACACAATGGCAATATAAACACAAATGCAGTATAATGTGATCCTTTATGACAGTTTCGCCCCCAACATGGGCTTTTCAAGTCACAAACAGAACTTACCTTTGGTGGAAGGAACGCGAGTAAATTTATAATCCCGGCTGAGGTCCAGGTAAGAATCTCATCTGATGATGTAACCGATTGGTTGTAGAGTCTGCGCAAACCGAGTTCCTTGAGGAAGAATGCACTATAATTGAACAGTATTTTCCAAACTCCACATCCTCGTCACTTCCCTCAAGACTGCAGACGGCGAGCACTAAACATCTTCAACACACCCAGAAAGCACTGCCGAGAAGAGATACATAGTCCTTCCCACCAACTCCATTGCCAAACAATGTTTCCAACATCTTTGCAAACATCATTCCAATATCTACCTTCCACAACCACGACCATCATGGACATCACCATATTAGGCAGACAAGCCTCCATCCTCTGCAGGGGTATACATAACCCTTGTAATGACTGCAAAAAATTATACGTGGGCGGGGAAACAATCAAGGGACCGCCAAACACGTATTTCAGAACACAATACGCAAGCAGGTCTGAAAGACACTAGGAATGCTGATACAACTCCGTTTTAAATTCACACAACCACTTGGATAAACTACAGAAACTCAGACTTATCGCCACAGAAGAGGAACACCCAATACCGAAGAATCCTGGAATCATACTTATTCATATCCGACAACTTCAACCAGAATAGGGGGCTTCTTAACATAGCTGACCACTTGCCAAAAAACTTTCTTCATCCT